GCTTGGACATTTAACTTAAAACCAGAGTGAGTCTGGAAAACCTGGCTATCAGTTCCAGGGGGTAAAATTCAAACTTAACAATGGCAAATCAGGCTCAAGTTTGGATCTTGAAGCAGTAATAAGCTGGTTGGTATCCTAAAATTTTGCTGAAAGTTTTGAGTGTAGGAATGTCCAGTTAATGTCCAGGCCTGGTGATGAGCTGTGGACACTTGCATGTACCTGATTCTGATACCAACAATCCACATTTGAAATCCTTTTTAAAGGACTTAAGAGCTGTGTGCAGATTTGCTGAGATGAGATGGGGGATCATGGGAGGGGATGTTGGGTCACTGCTGTGCTGCTGCCCTTCGGTGTTGAACCTCTGAACCCTCTGCTTTGTGTTTGCAGCTCGATGCTGACAGCCCCCAGTTCTTAAGTGACCTCAGGAAGGACATCCAAAAAAAGATGGGGTTTGATGCAACAATGAGGGTTCGGACAAGTACAGGTAAGAGGAACCCTGAGAATGAATTTTAAATAATGTAGTGCTGTGCAAATCACTTGTAAGATCAGGCTGGTTTCATTTCATTATGTACCTCTTGAAAATTAATTGAACAGAATGATAAAATCTATGTCTGTGTGTGAATATATTGTCATTTATATACATACACACACACATACTTCCTGTATATGCCTTCTTAATAACTTTTTTTCAAGTCTGGGAAAGGCTTCTGCTCATTCTGCACACAGCATGCACTACAAGGAAGTTGTATAAAAAGGTGTTGCTTCTGGACACTGACGTGTGCCTTCATTTCTGTACTCAAATGACATTCCTATGTCTATCCAGCTTCTTTCATTCATTCTTAGCTCAAATGCAAGTCTTAGAGAAAGGGACACACCCAAAGAGGCCAAGCCAGCAGTGCAGAAGCTCTGGGTGTCCAAGTCACAGCTTTTCCCTTTCTCCAGCTCTCACAAATGCCCTCAGCAAGGACAGTTGTTGGGACTCCTGAGCCTGTAAAGCCCTGAGGGAAAATGGCTCCTGCTTCAGTAAGCGATGTCAATTTAATTTGCCATTTTTAACTGAAATGCTCTGTTTTAATCTGTCTGCAGGCTTCAGGGCTACAGACTTCTTTGGGGCCATTTACATGAACAACACCACGGATGTGGAGATGGCAGCGGTTGACTGTGACAAAGCAGTGACAGTGGAGTTCAAACATGATGACAAACTGAATGAAGACACTGGGGCCTTAATTCAGGTAAAAAAAAACCTAATTCACGTATACAGTAAAATGGTGAGTGTGACCTAATGCAGCCAGAGCAGAGAAGTGATGGGGTAGGAGTGATGGGAACAAGGCACAACTTGCAGACTCTTGTGCCATAACACCACTGGTAAAAAGTGTGTTCTATTCAGGGGTTCCCAGATCCTTTCTAAACACTCACTGAAACCTCATCAGCTGTTCTTTTTTATTATTTCACTGTAAGTAAGTTTATGTGGAGTAAGAGATTCATTGCTACTTATATGGCAATTGTTATTGCTGTGCCCCTCTACAGACTGTAGGAGTTTTTATGATGTTAATATGAATAACTTATTCTATAATGTCTGAGAGGTGTCCCCAAGACCCACAGGTGTGCTGGTGCTACAGCTGCCAGCAGCACTGCCAGGCTGCACTGGCTGCAGAAGGCGTCACCTGTCCTTTGTGCACAGAGAAGGTGGCTCCAGTGGTGACACTTTGTGCCTCTGTTGCAGTGTGCTGTCCTGTACACATCGCTGAGCGGGCAGAGGCGAATCCGCATACACAACATAGGTTTGAATTGCAGCTCTCAGTTAGCTGATGTCTACAGGACTTGTGAGACTGATGCACTTATCAACTTCTTTGCTAAGTCAGGTACAGTTGCAGCTGACCAGTTTTGCTTCCTTTTTTACTTTGGCATGGATGAAGTGGAAGGAAGAGGGGCTGAAGTAATTACCTAGTGGGAAATCATATTTTATAATTTACTGTTCCACACCTGATCAATTCTTGAAGTATTATGAAATTGAGAAGACAAATAATAATTACCTATTTCAGACAAACTGCCATAAAATAAATACTTGTGTGTAGGTAATGCATGGAACTGGCCAGGCACAGTAATGGACATCCTACTGCAGTGTTGGGGGTTTGGTGGGGTTTTTGGATGTCTGTAGAACAGCCTGAAAAATCAACCTCAGCCCTCAGGTCTGTAAAATCAGAAACCAGCAGCAGACAAAGATACTTTGAGTGTCTTTTTTAACACACACTTTTATTCTGTGCTTGTAGCTTTTAAAGCCATTCTGAGCCAGCCCCTGAAGACAGTCAGGGACATCCTGGTGAATCAGACTGCTCACATGCTGGCCTGCTACAAGAAGAACTGTGCCAGCCCAGCAGCTGTCAGCCAGGTAAAAACCCACACCCAATTCTACCCACCCTGGCTTTGCCACAAGTGCACAACCACCCTACAACATCAGCAGAGCTAGAAAGCAAAACTTCAGGACAGACTTGTCCTTTTCTTTCAAATGCAACTGATGACAGGTGGGATTCGGTGGTGGCACTTAGAGCACACAGAAACTGTTGTTCTGGAACAAAAGGCAGTGGCATTGATGGAACTGATGCCTGTACTCACACAAAGGAGCTCAGACAGCCCTCTTCTTCCTGCTGGAATTATGCACTGACTCACAAAGTTTTCATTCTTAATTGTTATGTTGTTATAGATGGTTGTAGTATTCGAAATTTTGACTAAGCAGAGTGACTGATTTGTTTCCATTTAATTTATTCAGTCATATCTTAGTGATTTAACTCAAAGAGAGACTAGAGCTTTTCCATCCCAGAGGTGCTGCCAGTAACCACAAGCCTGGGCAGTGAATTGTTCATTGTTTGTGAGGACCAAATAATGTCAAACAAAACCAGAGCTACTTATTGTGGACCACTATTTCTCTCCTTAATTCTTCAGAGAGTGCCCCTAAGATTAACAGGGCTACAGGGAGATGACAGCAGCCAAGACAGTGAATACAGCTTAATAGGGCAAATAGTTTCTATTGGATTTGTACTAAATGTGTTGTTTTCTCAGCTGATCCTGCCAGACACGATGAAGGTGCTGCCTGTGTACATGAACTGCCTGTTGAAGAGCTGTGTGCTGGCCAGCAGGCCCGAAATCCCAACCGATGAGAGAGCTTTCCACCGCCAGCTGATCATGGCCATGGGGGTGGCCGACACACAGCTCTTCTTTTACCCCCTGCTGCTGCCAATTGTGAGTCGATTAAAGTGGATTTGTCACTTTAATTTCTAACCCCTCTTACCTGAAAAGGAGTCACTAAGATGTGCCAAACCTTTCAGTAGTTACAATTCCACAGCACTTGTGTCTTTTTCCCCCACAGCACAGCCTGGATCTGAAGAGTGACGCTGTCCCAGCTGCCATCCGCTGCTCCGAGGAGCGCCTCTCCGAGGGAGGGGCTTTCCTGCTGGCCAACGGGCTGAGAATGTTCCTGTGGCTGGGAGCCAGCGTGTCCTCAGAGCTCATCCAGGGGCTTTTCAACGTGCCCTCCTTCGCACACATCAGCACCGAGGCCGTGAGTAAATGCAGACTAAGAATTGAGGATTAGCAAGACCAGATGCTAATCAGAGAAACAAGTGAGGTCTTTGTTCATCCTTCAGCCTTAAAAGGAAGGACAGGTGACCAGCAGAAGGTGTTAAGACACCAGAATTGCTTTAAGTTACATAAAACTTAACACTCACACTCTGAACACTGAGAGGACAGAAGATTTCAAAACTTTTTAATCTCCCTAAGCTTCATTGCAGATATTAAAGTCCTTTCCACTGTGTATTACTAAAATCAGAACAAAACACTTTGCAATGGTTAAGTTTTCCTGACAATGCATTTTCATATAGTAATTATTTTAAACTGAAAAATGAGTCCTCAAGACGAGACCTTTTAGTGAAAGAGATGCAGTTTCCTGGTTTAGTATGAAATCCCCAGTACCTTATAACGTAACTATCAGAGGCTAGTCTTGGTTAGAGATGTGACTGGACTATAACAACCTGCTTTCCTTCTGACAGACATCCCTGCCTGACCTGGACAATCCGTTTTCTAAGAAACTGAAGCATATTCTGGCGCAAATCCAGAGCCAAAAGCCCCACACTATGAAGGTAACTGCTTTTTTCCTCAACTTGTTTCTCATACTTGCTCAAAAGAACACTCCAGGCTTTGCCAAAACTTATCAGTGGCTGTAAAAGGTTTTTTAGGTATTGGGAGTGTTCCTGCACGTGGGTGAGTTCCAGCATGATTTGTAGGCACAGGCATCTCAAATGTGCTTAATTGCCAATCAAAACTGATTTTCAAAGGTAGTCAAGTTTGAAAAGGAACCATTTTATTCTGCACTCCTCAATTCGTGTTAGTCTCTCCATCTTCTGCAGTGTGGAGATTTATTAGCTTTGGGGGTTTTCCCCACCTCAAGAGCATCCACTAAGAGCCATAGAAAAACAGTGCTGCCATCTAGTCTGGCTGCATGCTAAAACTATCTGTCTGTATCTCTTATCTTCCCAGCTGATGGTAGTGAAGCAGCGGGAGCAGCCAGAGATGCTTTTCCGCCAGTTCCTGGTAGAAGACAAGAGTATTTACGGAGGAGCCTCGTACGTGGATTTCCTCGTGTGCATTCACAAAGAGATCAGCCAGCTGCTCAGCTAAGGCAGCTCAAGTAAAATGTTCAGTTCCTTTTTGCCTTTGCAGGAGGGACAGTTTTTGGTGCCTGAAGGCTGGCCCACAGCTCCACCAGACCCAGGCCTTCTGCTGTGCTTTACTGACCCTTTTCTGTGCTCTTTTTGTACAGTTATGTTTGATCCCATCTCTCCCTGAGTATTTTGCTTACTTCTTAAGCTGTAGAATAGGAAGTTCTGCACTCAGGTATTAATTAATCTTCTGGGAGTCCTGACTCTTTCTCTACGTGAATTACCAGATTCCAGACTGTCAATGCTTAAGAGCATATATGGTATACATTTCTTAAAAGACACTTTAGAAAACTCTCAGTTATTCCTTTTATTAGTCATAAGTTGTACCAGAGCTGGGAAAGATGATCAGAATCTCTACAGAGGAGGAAAAGAGACAAAAAACTTCTTTCTCTAAGTGAGGACATGGAGTTGAATCAGATTGGCAGTAAACATGCAGCTCAGTTTGAAGGATTTCAAAGTCCTTCCTGTGAAGTAAATATCTGTAAAGTAAATCTTTCTTTTCCTGGAAGGGACAAGTGTTGCTATCTACAGAAGCAGAGCTCTAGGGACCCTTCCACAGCCAGGGCTATCCAGGAGACAGAAATGCCTCAGTTTTGTAACTGGACTTGAGTAAGTGTACCAACAACAGGGATCACAGGAAGAACAGTAATCAAACAATCCTTTTGCCACATTTGGCAGATCACGCTATTATGGTACAATTCTGTCCGCTTGGGGGCAGCAATTAGCTTAGCATACTATTTAATTACATTTTCAAAATTGCACAGGTTAGGCTTTATTTAGACCATTTGCTAACTGGAATATTCCCAACGCAGCTCAGAAAAACCTGTCCCTCAAAATTTCAGTGGCAGATCGACTGTGAGACAGTTGACACATTAACCAAAGGTTATTTGTGGTGCTACAAAGCCTCTTGTTTAATACCAGGTCTATTACAGTGACCTCCTCTCCCATGACTGGTTTAATCAGTGGTCACTGCTCTGTAAAGCAAGCCTTTGCTAATACCAATATTGAAGGTAGAATTTGGAAAGCCAGAGCCTTTGGAACAGCTGTTTACCTCATACTTCATCAGTCTCTCTTTAGGACCAATGCCTCTGAACATGAGGTTTGAATTTGCCAAACTTAAAAAGCTATTACTTAAAAAATATAGTGATTCAAAGAAAGCCAAAAACACTCAAAAGTAAGGTTGAGCCTCAGTAAAGAAAAAAGTGCCTTTAAGCATGTTAGTGTTGCTACTTACATTATTTAATATCCACAATAAGCAGTCAAAATGCATAGATTTTTGGTTTGACGGCTTATCTATACAGTCTTATTGTTGTCGTTGACCAAAAGCTCTTGAAAAAAGTGGCTGTATTACAAAAGGGTCCTTGGCCTGGGTTCAGCTGCCAAGACAAGCACTTTTTAGCTGTAGACATTACCCTGTAAAAAGTATTTGTTGCCATTTCATTTGTAAAATGACACCAGCAACATTTGTGTAAAGAAATAAGCGATTATTAAATATAATCTCTGTGTGTGTTTATTCTTTCGCACGTCCCAAGTTCTCCAAGGTTTTATGGCCAATGGCATCCAGCAGTGAGTACACTGTAGGTCACCTTCTCCTACTGTGACTCTCAAGACAGGCAGCTTACATGGCCTCAGCATTTTCAGTGTGTTTCTGCTATTGTCATCACCCTGGCTCTGGTGAGAAGACAGGATCCAAGTGAAGAGGAGCTGTTCAGCATCAAGATGGGGTAAGCCAAAGCTGTTCATACTGGCAGAGCTGCTGCAGCAGAGTTCCGGCCTGACTGGGCAGTGTTAGCTACAGTAAGACATCACAGTGGAGAAAACATCAGAGGATGACAACAGACATGACAGTGACAAGTATCTCACAGCCATACTACAAGTGCAGTGCTTGGCTTCACCATAAACTGCAGTATTTAACTCAGAATAATTAAGCATTTTTTTCCTCCTTTTTCATTGCTGCAGTAATTATACTCAAAATTAGTTTCTGTTTCACAGAACTTGCCCACTGCTTTCTTTTCAGCCCATGAGAATGACCCTGTTATGAAGAGGATTAGTGCAGCTTAAGTTGATGTTGAGCCCATTAAAGTTGTCATTTCTGTTAAAGCAATAAAGTTGCCACCAACTTCAGTAATTTTGCAAAGGGAAAACACCTTTTCTACTATATACAGAAAGAGTGGGTTCATTTATCTGTCCTATATACAGAAAGAGTGGGTTCATTTATCTGTCACTTTCAGATTACTCAATTTATCTTTATAAAGCCAAAGGACTTGAAGATTTTTTCAGAGTAATGGGCTTGAAATGTTCATGTATCCTTTAAAGTGCTCTCTGTATATTAAAATGCATAGCAAGGCATAGAAAACCAGCTGAATATTCTAAAATTAATTCCATTACTTAATACCTGTCAACATCTGTGCTCATCTCAAAGCTGCTCATTGATTTGGACCTGAATTCCACTTCTCAGAGCAAAGCCTTCAGCCCCTATGAACACACACAACAAATTGGTGCTGGGGAAGAATCACCCGGAGAGTGTTGACTGCTACCCTGCCCAGCACACCCAGCATTCCAGCCAGCTCCTTGTAAGCAGCGCTGTCAGAGTGCACAGAATTCTCCAGCTGGTGGCTGATTTATACCCAGTGACCTGCTCCTGCCCAGGGTCTTCAGTTCCCTCTGAAGCCAAATGCTGAGACATCCTGAGTACCTTGTCAGTGCAGGTGTTGAATCCTTCACTGAGTTCTCAGGGGGCAAGACAGTGCAATGACTCCAAGCCTCCTCCAGAATGGAAAGACAGGACAGGCACCCCAAATCAGCCTGGAGGCGTTGTGCATTTAATAAAAGTGGAAAGGAAGAAACTTACCAGGCTTTTTTCTCTTCCAAGAGAGCATGCTCAAATGAAGTCTTCGTTTACTTGTGCTAGGTGAAATAAATATTCATCAGCTCAGTGATTGTGAGCCTTATCCTCCCCTTTCTCTGGAGGTGCAACAAGTGAGAAATTAACTGACAGCCACTGATGGGATTAAAAGCTTTTCATCTCTAGTCACCATTTCTGTGTGGTCCAAATCCCAGTGACCAAGAAAATGACCTGATGGGGAGTGTGGTCAGTTGCTCACTAACAACATGGACATCCCACTTTGCTGGCAAAGGTTCCCCATCCAGACACCTCTAATCTGACTTAACCTTGTTTCAGGGCCATAAAAAGAGCTGGTTCTGCAATTTGAGGGGCTGGGTGGCTCTGAGGCCTGACGGGCCCTGCTGAGTGCTCACCCCAGTAGGCAGAAGTGGATCTGTGATGCTGCTCATTATCTCGTGTTTTCCACCAAAAACTTGCTGGTCTCGATGGAGGAATTTTCCAAACCTTCCTATTTCAGTGCTGCTTGCTGGAAGCTTGGGTTCCGAGGCGGTGGGAGCTGGTGTGACTGGGAAGAATTGAAACCCTCGGGCCGGGTCAGAGACGCCTCAGCCGTGAGGGCAGAAGCGCCTCCGGTGTCGGTATGAAAATGGATCCGCCTGCGGGAGCTGCCGTCCCTGGCAGCGCTGCTCCCAGGCTGCTCCCTGGAAAACCTCATTGCTGTGGGGCTGGGGGTCCCAGGCTTCTGTGAAAACCTCGGCTGCTCCTTAAACCATGAGTGAGGCCGACTGGCGCCGCCTCAGGATTGCCGCCATTGCCGCAGCCTCGTCAGCTGCGGGACGTGTTACAGTCCGGCTCCAGAGCAGAAATTTCCTCGTGGAGTGTGGAGAAAAAACATGTATAGTTGAGTTTATAGTTCAAGAAGTGGTAAAACTACCCTTAAAGAAGTCATTAAATGTGAATTGACTCAGTGCTTTCTGCCTGAATCATCAGCAAGCATTAAACAGACACAATGTGTGTGTGAGGGGGAAGGCGAGAGTCCCGGCCAAGGAC